CCTTCGCCAGCGTCCTATCTTCGCTCCAAAGACCCAACGGTGCCAAATGCCGCCTTAGTGAAGAGCAGTATGTTCTGATCTGGGACGTGGCGGCGCGGCGGCGGCGAGCCGGGCCGGCGGGCGAGTGGGCGAGCGGGTAGGCCCAAGGCTATTGTTCGTCGCTGCCGCCCTGGCTTTTCATGGAAAAGCCTAAAGTAATCGCGATAAGAATAAAGAGAAAACGGCGTCGCCCCCATTGCAACCCCACTCTTACCCCAATCCCGAACCCCCAGCAAAACAAAACAAACAAAACAAAACAAAGCAAAACACTTCCTGGCTTCGCACCTGCCCCAGGGCCGCGCAGACGGGCCAGGGCTCCGCCTGCGGACCTGGAGGTGGGAGCGGCGCGGCCTGGACTCGGGGGCACTCTCAGGGGGCTGTGTCTGCGTGTCGTGTGTGTCTGTCTCTGGGAATGTGTATCTGTGGCCCGAGCAGGTGACAGAAAGAGATGGATGGGGGCATAACCAACTCAGTGACTTGCTTAGAAAAAGAGAAAACAAAACAAAACAAAACAAAACAAAAACCCAAATTAAAAAAAATTAGGAAGGCAGCAATCGTTTTTTAAAAAAAGATTTTAAAATCTAAGGGTAACAAGTAAATGGGGAGAGAAGGAAGGCTGCAGCAAGCACTGTCTGGCGGCTCTGTTTTGTGAACCCTAAATGGGGTCCCTCCTGACGGCACAGACTCCCTTGGGCTCCTCCTTAGGGGGGATGAGGGAGCCTCCAGTCCCGCTTCCCCTCCTGTCCTTGGGTTCGGCCGGGCCAATGCGGGGAAGACTCCTGCAGACTGTCGCCGCGGCCAAGGGGACGTCCTCGCGCCCGCCTGCCTGTCCCACCTGGCCGAACACCATCCCGCCATCAGCGCTTCCGAGCCCCACGCAGTTGCAACTCCCAAACCCCCGAATCTTTGCAGCCACTCGGCCCCGAAAGATGCCCTATACATGAGATGCCTTTCATCTGCAAACTGCAAACTGTGTCTCATATTTCAAAACGCTTCCCTGTTTTTCTCTCTCCTGCCACCCCCACCGGCATATTCTTCTTCCACCAGCTTTTACTGAACTTTTCGGCACTGCTTTGGATTGGAGTCGATTGCAATCCGTGCAACTGGCTACAGAGAAATCTACCGAGCGAGGGAAAGGCGCGCACACTAGTTTGCAGAAGTGTCTCGGTTTGCACTTCTGTTTGATCCGAAATGGACTCACATCCTGTATGGTGGATGAACTGTATATTGATGATTCCATTCTTCTCGCAGTTTAGACATCTCTGTTGAGGTTTTTTTTGTTTGTTTTTTTAAATTTTATTTTAAAAGGCACAAACTATAGATATTAGTTGAATGTTGAGGCTTTAACTTTTTGGGTGTCTTTCTACAACTGTGTTCTGTGACTCAATTGTATCGTGTTAATATCAGTACAGACCGTCTCCTCTACGTGACCGTATAATGTTTTTCCTCTTCTTGTAGTCTCTATGGCGTGTCTTTACGGAGTACTAAGGTTCTCACGGGTTCAATTCCTTTGTGTTTAGAGACCACGGTTCAGACAATGGTATATATTTTTGTTATCAGGTGCATGTCTGTCTGATTTTTTTTTCTTCTTGTTGGACCTTGTTTGTGAACATAAGCGTCCTAAGTTATGTTTCAGATTTTCAAATTTATTTATATGTGTTATAATGAATGCTTCTATTTAAAAGGGAAATATTTCTACATGTGCATATAGTTTTCCAAGAGTGTACCATTAACTTGATTGTTGATAATAAAAACAAAAAGCAAGTCTAGCGATTGAACTCCTCTGAATTTTCCTCAATTCATTCTTTTAAATTTAATTTTTAAAATGATGAGGGAGAACAGAGGAAATTGCATAAAATCTCTAGAAGCCACAGTGGCTCTGGTTGGTTGGGGAGTGGAAATCCATGCAGCCAAATTCAGCCAGGATAAAATTTAGTGCTTGGGAGAGCAGGCAGGATTCTTCCGGTGGTTTTGTGTCAGGGAGCAAAAGAGAACACCCGGGTGTTGACAAAAACGTTCAGATCAGGCCTAGGCTGAGGCCCCAGGGATTCCTGGCAGCAAAACAGGAACTGCACACCTGATTTTGAGAAGGACTCAACTGTGGATTCTGAGCTAAAGTGCCTCCAGGACCCATAAGCCCCCATGGGCCATCCTCCTTAAGCCCAATGACTGCCTGCAGCACCCTGTGACACCTGAGGGTCTTTGCATGGGCAGATGGATCAGGAAGGCTCTGGGTGGAGAGTAACATTGATGTGTTTTGAGAAATAATATTGACAACAACTGAAATTATCGAGCCCTGGCATGTACCAAATTGTGCTTTCCATGCATTATCCCATCTGCTTCTCAAAATAACATCACGAAGTAGTGCAATTCCGATCCTCATGTTCTTTTTATACAGATGAGGAAGCTGAGGCAACAGAGAGGTTAACCTGCTCAAGAGCCCTGGGCATGAGTGATAGGGCAAGCCTTTGAACCCAGGAAATCTGATTCCAGAGGCTGTATATTCACTGCACCAGTGGTTCTGAAAGTGTGGTCAGCAGCTCACATGGGAACTTGTTAGAAACAGGAATTCTTAGACCTTATTCTAGACGTACAGAATCATGAACTCTGGGATGGGGGCCCAGCAATCTGTTTTAATAAGCTCTATAGAGGATATTAGAACCACTGAACTACACTCTAAGAAACCCAAATAGGAAGGTTCCAGAATTGGGGCTACATTGGGAACAGGGGTGTGTGTATGGGGGTGTGTGAAGGAGCCTCTGACAGTTTCAATGATCCCCTTTTGGAAAGAGCGGTCATCAGCACAGCTCCAAGATGAAATTCTGTCTCCATCTTGGACTGTTTGGCAGGGCCACCTTCTTCAGTAGAAGCCTGTGTGAACTTCAGGTACTTAACTTGGTACCCCTGTGGTTGGGCCTTATAAGTAGATAAGTCAGTTCCTTCATCTGACATCTGAGGGGAAGCCACCTGCTGCCTCCTCTGGTCTGAGGATTAGCAGCTGATGTGGCTTGAATTTATCAGGGCTTCTCACTTTAAGCATCCAAATATGGCTTGCAGCAGATCATGAAGGTTTCATTCAGAAATTTCAAACCTTTGGATCTAACTTTTAATGGTTTTTCTAAACGGCTTTTAAATAGTCTTTAAAACAAAATCTGGCCTGGCCAAAGTGGCTCAGTGGTTGAGCATCTACCTATGAACCAGGAGCTCACAGTTCGATTCCAGGTCAGGGCATATGCCCGGGTTGCAGGCTCTATCCCTAGTGTGGGGGTGTCCAGGAGGCAGCTACTCAATGATTCTCTCTCATCATTGATGTTTCTGTCTCTCTCCCTCTCCCTTTCTCTCTGAAATATATATATATCTGTCTCTAAATTCCTCTCAGAACCCACCCCTCTCCCCTCAAATAACATTCTATAAACAGTGGCATCAATTGTGCTGGTCTAAGATCCCAGCAGTCACAGATTCTATAGACCCCAGTCTTTCGTTGGAAATATAACTTAGAAAAGTCTGGGAGAAGAAAAAGTAAAAGCAGGAATTTATTGATGAAAAAAGAATTCAAAGCCCAGGTAACCTAGCCCTGGGGCTTGGCTAGAGGAGAATGAGCCTTACGCATTGGGGGCCACCAAGTAAGCCTCTGAGAGCTGATGGGCTGGCCAGTGGGACAGGCATTCTGGAGAAGGCAAGACCAGGAGACAGAAAGCAAAGAAGAAGTAGAGAGAAAGGAGGAAGGTAGAGAAAAGAGAGGAAAACCAAGTAGCCAAAGAAACCCCAGTGAAGGCCCCAGAAAACCTTTGAGATGTGACCAAACTAGATGAGGATACTCAAACTCTCTTTTCCTGGCCTTGACCTGGAAATAATTTATCTCCCGGACAATTGAAACTCTAGGGACTGGTGAGGAAATCATGCTCCCTACCCCCCACCTGTCCCAGCTTTCCAGGGGATGGCATTTAAAATCTCTGGAGGCACCCCACTTTGGTATTTCAATATCAACTTCTTTTTAATTTGGGCCACTTCTGCCTCTCCTACTGGTCAAAGAAGCAAAGCTGTTCCTTGGGAGGCAAGTTTATGATCAAATGCAAACTAATGTCCCTGTAATATGATGGAGCCTAGTGGCAGGACACTGTGTCTCTCGGGTTGTGTCATTTCCTTGGAGTCATGCACGGTGTGAACAAGCTCACTTTCACTTTTCCTCTCCCAAGGAATTTGCATTTTGGCTCATCAAGGCATCCTTTTTCCTGGCAACTCCGGGATCACATGTGACTTCACAAAAGCTGCAGGAGCTGATGCCAGATGGCCATCTCTGAGCCAAGTCTCCTTCAAGATGGCCAAGTACAGGAGCCTGAGTGGTTTCAGAGGGAAACTGATAACCCAACATGTAGTAGCTGTCTGTCACTCACCCTGATGCTTCTCTGAGGAAGCCAACTAGATAGAGATGCCCCTCAATTCAGGGAAAGGATCTGAGTGACTTGGATGCTGAATAACTTAATCCCTCTTGATAAGCTTGATTCATCAACTGTAAATATGAATAATAATATAGACTTGTGGGGTTTTTGGGGGTATTAAATAAGATATACAGCAAATATCTGACATAGCATGAAGTTTTCAGCAAATGTCAACTATTATGAATATTATTATTACATCACTTCTAGATTCATTATCTCCCTTGTTCAAATCGTAGAAGATTAAAAGAGCCCTCAGCCCTGGCCAGGTGGTTCAGTTGGTTGGAGCTTCATCCCAAAAAAGTTGCAGGATTGATTCCTAGGTGGTGGGTTCAATCCCCTTGTCAGGGTGCGTACAGGAGGCAACTGATCGGTGTTTCTCTAAAATCAGTAAAACAAATCCTCCCATTGGAAAAAAAAAAGCCCTCAGTTGTCAAGTCAATGACCCAGGAACACAAAGTCTGAGAGAATATGCAAAGGCTGGAACTGGAGAACTTTGCTGAGGGTGACAGTAACAACCTAGAATCAGCCAAGGGCTCCCAAGTAATAGCTACTAATATTTATTGAGTTCTCATTATATGCCAGAGACTTTTATGCTTATAAGCTTTAAAGCAGTTAATCCTTACAACAACCCTATGAGAAAATGATATTCCCATTTTTTAGGAGGAAACTGAGGCATAGAGAGGTTAGGTAAGATGCCCACGGCCACACAGCTAGTAGTACTGAAGCACGAATCCAACTCCCGTTTGTCTCGAGAGCCCAAGCTCTTTAACCACTCTCCTTTAGAATCTCCACAAAGAGAAGAATTCGTTTTCAGCCTATGAGGTCATGCTCTACCAACCTGGGAGGAGATCTCATCTCTCAAAATGACGCAGAAAGGTAGGTGAAGGTTAGACAGGGCAACAGGAGGAGCGGTACTGGGATGAGATTCCCAGCCAGATTCAGAATGAAGTCCAAGGCTGAAAGGGAGTTGCTTTGGGATCTCCAGCAGGAGGGCAGCATAGTTATAGCTCACGGTCTTTTTCTGGGAAATGAACAAGAGGAGAAGTAGCCAGGGGAATGGAGCATGAAAGGAAAAAGGATTACGTTTATGAAGTACAGGACATCAGTCGGTGCACAGGAATGGATGTCAGGACAAGATGTCAACCTCTGGGCTCATCTGTTGCAAAAACCGAATTCTTAATTTTCCAGCTTTGACTGCAGTTGGATGTGCACCAAAAATCTAAACAGATACAGTGACTGGTTGCCTTCACCCAATAGTGTGTCCATGTTGGAGAGTAAAGTATAATGCAAAGGGCTGTGGTCTCCTCAGCATTATCCTAAAACAGTCAATGACCATGTCATCATCATCACAGTGGAATTTTGGATTGTGTTAGTCTTGGCTTAACATAGGAGTTCTTAACCTTGAGTTTATGGGTGGAATTCAAGGAAGATGAAAAAATACATATATATTTTTACTAATCCCTACCTGAAATCTAGCATTTTCTTCAAGGATAAATGTAGGCAACAAAGCCATGGTATTATTAGTACCTGTGACTTTGTCACCAATGGAACTCACAAATTTTTTTCTTTTTCAATTATAGTCAACATTCAATATTATATTAGTTTCAGGTGTACAGATCACAGATATTTTTATTTCACATTAGAGTTTAATGGTGATGTGATATATCTCAATATATCACATCACCATTAAATTGAAATTATGGTAATTATCAGACCAGCCACTAGATCTTGCTTTTAATTCATTAATAAAGAAGCACATACATGACTGCATTACAAATTTGTTTTAAAATATTTTTGATAACTATTGTAACTGACTTCTTCTATAATACAATGCACTTTGTTTTCTGCATTTAAAAATGTTATCTTGAGAGAGTTCATGGGCATCACCAGCTGCCAAGGGGTCTATGGCATAGTGAAGAGCTCCTGGCTAATTGGTAAAAGCAGGGTGGTCCATCTCTCTGTGAAGCTCTGACACTAAGAACTTCTCATTAGGGCCAGAGCATGTAATTATTTTATTTTACAGGTAGAAGACATTTTAGAGACGTTTTAAACCCATCACATGTTCCTTCAAAGGACAAGACAGAATAAAACAAGTGCCCAAAGCTGAACAAAGAAAGTTCCTGGATTTTGAAGACAGTGAGACATCATGAGAAAGTAGGAGATGCAAAGGTCTCAACAAGACTGGAACATCCTCATACCACTTTTTGAGTGTTTACACAAGCCGGGCCCTGTGTCGAGTGCACACAGAGCAGCCCTCTATGACAAAGGCAGTGCTTCCCTTCTTTCCCATTATTGAAATCCAAAGCTACTGGGTCACTTGTCTAAGTCATACCACTAATAATGGCAAAGCCAGGACTCAACCCAAACCCCAGCTTCTTAACCAAAGGCTCAAAAGGTTGAGAAGAAGAAGAAGGAGAAGGAGAAGGAAAAGGAAAAGGAGAAGGAGAAAGGAATTCTTCATTTGTCTGGCTGATACTCATATTTTGTCTGAACCTGCAGCTATTTGGTTTGTTCAAATACCCCAAGGCCAAGTGATTGAGCAATGATGTCACTTTAGCCATGTGTTTGATGTCAAAGACCTTCCTCTGGGGAAAATCAGACATCAAGGGGGAAATAAAGGCTTCTTACCTGGACGTAATGTCATTAGGGAACCCAGTGGATGACTGTTTGCTACTTGCTAGCCAATGATTTCAGCGGTGATTTCCAGAACAGGAAGAGCCTGGGTGTAAAACTTAATTTCTGTAAGCTCCAGCGTCAGAGCCACCTCAGGGAGAAGTGGAACGAAAACCTGGTTTGTCTGTGGCGTAGGATAGGGTACTTTCGGAGTGCTTACTATGTGCAGGGACTCTGCTAGCTGTTTTGCATGTGTTATGTGTTGTATATAGTCTTTCAAGCCTCCTGAGGTAGATATTATTGTTCTCATTTTTACAGGTGAAAAAAATCCTAAGTAATAGAAAGACTGAGCAACTTCTAAGTGTCAGAGGCGGGCCCTAAGCTCCTATCTCTTGGCTCCCAAAGCCCCATTCTCTGGGAGGTCCCAGAGTCTAGAAGAGTCACTGAGAAAACAGCCCTGACCTTAGCCTTCCTGCTCACACCCTAAGCCAATGTCAGTGAAGGGAGAGAGGATGACGGAAATGTTCTGTAGTGGTCATGGCTAAACAACCCTGCGACTGTATTAAACCTCATGGAATTGTACACTTTTTAATTTTTATTGTTTTATAAATAAATAATAACGATTTATTCAAGGGTCTTAGGGCTTTTAAGCTGCAAATACACTAGGCCAGTGATGGCGAACCTACGACACGCGTGTCAGAGGTGACACGCGAACTCATTTTTTTGGTTGATTTTTCTTTGTTAAATGGCATTTAAATATATAAAAAAATATCAAAAATATAAGTCTTTGTTTTACTATGGTTGCAAATATAAAAAAATTTCTATATGTGACACGGCACCAGAGTTAAGTTAGGGTTTTTCAAAAGCTAAGAGTTATCATAGTGAAAAGTATGTTCTTCAGAAGAATCCATCCTGCATAATTAGCCTTTGAATTGTTCTGAGATGGTGTTCTTTTTTTTTTTTTTTAAATCCTCACCTGAGGATATGTTTTTCACTGATTCTAGAGAGAGAGGAAAGGAGAGGGAGAGGGAGGGACGGAGGGAAGGGGAGAGGGGGAGAGAAAGAGAGAAAGAGAGAGAGAGAGAGAGAGAGAGAGAGAGAGAGAGAGGTAGGTAGGTTGCCTCCCATAAAATGGGATAGAACTGGAAACATGTGACCTGACTGGGAACTGAACATGTGACTCTTAGGTGCATGGGATTATGCTCCAACCGACTCAGCCACACTGGTGAGGGCTGAGAGGGAGATGATTGGTGGTCTGGATATGTGAACATTCTTTCCTTAGCCCTGATTGTAGTAATTTAGCAGTTTGCCTACATGACCCCATTTCATTTCTTCATTCTCTTCTTCAGCTTAACCAGGGGAATTTATTTCTCACAGTTCTGGAGGCTAGAAGTCCAAGATTAAGGTGGTTTTGGTGAGATCTGTCTTCCTGGGCTGTAGATGGAACTTTCTTGCTGTGTTCTCACATGGCCTCTTTGTGCACACAGAGAGGGAAGGGAGAGAGAGAGAGAGAGAGAGAGAGAGAGAGAGAGAGAGAGAGAGAGAGAGAGAGGCTGAACTGGACACTTACAAAGGGTGAATTTTGTAGTATGTGAATCATATCTCAGTTTTTGTTTGTTTGTTTGTTTGTTTGTTTGTTTGTTTTTTTAAGCAGAGACTAATATGGGAAACCCAGCTCTCTTTTGTCTTCTGCTATGATGTCCTTGATTTCTTGCAGGTCTGATTCATATACACCTTCATTTTAGTCTTAAGTCAGTGCAACATAAATTAACAGAGAGGGAAAAGAGTGGAAAACATTACTGTTTTCTTGACCATATTTTGAAGGCTAGTAAATGTGTGTTTTCTAACATTGATTTTAAAACAAAGTGGGCAAAAGATTCTTCTGGTGGAGCCTTTGCTTCACATTTATGGAAAGTCCAGAGAATTGTTAAAATTGTCAGACATTTCAACTATTTCTACACCTGACCACCTATCGGGGCAATCACGCATGGAAACTCCTCCCCAGGGCCATTCCTGCCTTCTTTTGAAGGAGGAAGTCAGATTTAAAGGATATTTAAAAATGTCTGAGGACATTTATCCACTTATACTGAGATTTTCTTGAAGTCCATTGAAACATTAAAAAGTCTTTTTTTTTTTCATTTTTAACTCCAGAGAGAGAGCCATTATGTGCTTTCTTTAAGTGAAGAGGTGTATATGTATAGGAAAATCATAGTATTTATAGGGCTCAGTACTATCTGAGGTTTCAGGCA